TTCGTTAGATTTTATTCGTTTTGTAGTTTTTTTTGTGCGTCTTGTTCTTGTTTGGTCTTCTTGCGTTTTGTTTTTGGTATTTTTCTGGTATTTCTCGTCTTTGGTGTGCAGGATGGAAGGCTCTAGAGGATTTATTTCTCACGATAATGGGACCGGGAGAACTTAGCTCATTAAAGCTTTTCGTTGGTAATACACAGGATAAAACAGAATCGAATTTGGGTTCCAAACGAGCTCGAACGAACACAAAATGCAGGGTGATACAACTAGGCCCGAGCATCCCCAGGCTCAGGCTGCCGCGCCTACCCGCCGCGCCGCGATGCACGTTACGGGCGGACAGAGACTCCCAGCCGATCCACCTGCCACGTCGCGAGGTCACCGCGCTGCGATGCACGATCCCTCCGCGTCGTGCCAGTCGGACAGTGCCGCACCGCGCCTATGCCACGAGGTGGACAGAGCTTCCAGCGTTCGCCCGCTCCGCGCCGCGATGATGCACCGCGCCGTGCCAGAAGACCTCTCCGCACCACGCCTGCCTCCCGCGTCGTGGTGCCCCATCCTGCCGCGCCGCGAGACAACTTCCAGCACGCCGCGCGGCCCTCTTCCTCACGCCATGCCCGACTAATATAAATAAGATTTTTGGGACTCTCGATCAGGGCTGATTCGACGAACACAGAAAACCCTTCCCATCTTATTTTATTTAGCTCTTTTCATTTTTCTTCATCGTTTTCAACGTAGAATAAGGATTTAAGCTCGGATTTCATTATTGCTTCCGGATTTCAAGCTTGTTTATCGAATTCAACTTTGGGATTTATCAATCGTAAGCTTTTCTTTTAACTTAATCGTTAATTATGAATTCTTGGGTTGAGATTGCTTGTGTTGATTATTCGATTATGAGTAGCTATATCTCATTGCTAGGGATAGGGGATTGATGTTTGAATTCGTTTGCAATTATCATATGCGTGATTGTTCAATTTGTACGAGTTGATCTTTTTCTAGGGTTTTTCAATTGTCGGGCTCAAATATTGAGAATTGTTGAAGGGTGACACTTCAATCCCCAATTGTTTGCAATTGAGTTCGATATATTCTTGCTTGATGTTGGTTATTCTAAACGGACTAGTTGATTAAACACCTTCTAGTCTACTTTAATCGACTCTTAGAATCGAAAGGGGAGGAGTCGGTCGAAATAGGCTCGTATGAACTAGGCTTGTTCGTCACTGTATTGCCTAGAAGTTAAATGAATTGTTAATTTGCCGTTCTAGTTTGTTCTCTTGTTACGAAAAGTTATTGAGAATGAGAGCTTGAACGTGTCGATTAGTCAAATCACTTAACCGAACAATCTCTTGCTTGATAATTGCATTTTCGAACCAAAACGGATATCCCCGACTCCCTAGCTTCTTAAATCCTGATTGTTCTTCGTTGTTGCTTGCTATTTCTATTTGCTTTATTTGAAATTTTTCTTCGTAGTTAATAATCGAACCAAATCATCTGAATTAGAATGTCTAGGAATTTTATTTTCTATTGTGTGGTTGAATAAACGTGCATAATAATCCGGCTAACCTTCCTCGAGAGACACGACCCGGTGTTCGAATCTTTTGATTCTACTCCAGAAAAATATTTACAACACTGGACACTTGCTTCCTCTCGGTTGTGCTCGGAAACATCGGGTCCAGCCGCGAATAGAGGCTCTCCCTCGGTTCTCGATCATTGCACGGTTGTTAGACTCTCGGATGTTCTTTGGTCGAACTCGTCGGAATATTGCTCTCGATAAACTTGAATTTGCCGAAGGTAAAATATATAAGATTTTTTAGAGAATTTGGGGGCGTTTTTTAGAATAAAATGAGGAATAATAGCTGAATGAATGTGGACTCTTATTTGATGCTACGTCTCGGTTAACATGGAAGATAATATTAGATTTTGATCAATTGTTGTCCCACATCGAATGTGTACCAAAGATATGTAGGATCTTTTTAGTATAAATAGGTCCCTTGCCTTTGGGTTACAATTGAACCTTATTCTATTCTCTCATCTCTTAGAAGAAAATCTTTAATTAAGGAAATCTTAATTTGTGGGTTATTTAACCCTAGTTGTATTTTGTTGGTGAGTTTAGTAAATTTGACATTGCAGTTGGCGGTGCCCGGAGACGTAGGCAATATTTGCCGAACTCCGTTATCAATTTTTGTGTTCTTTTTATTTCTCGTCTTTTATTTATTTGTGTTGACTTATTTTCGTTAGCAGTAGTGCTTGCCATATTTGTTGTAGGGATATTTTTGTCCGCTGCACTTGTTGTTCTACCCCAACAAGTAGTATCAGAGCCGAATGTTCTCCCTAGGGTTATTCGAAGAGGCGAGCACTCATTCGAGTTCGAGATGTCCAGGGAGGTCAAGGGCGCATCATCCTCTGCATTCGTTCCGGCAAGGACGGTGATGTGGAACGTCAGACTCCCGGTGGAGATCTTCGATGGGACCAGTCATTTCGGCATGTGGCAAGGCGAGGTGCTGGATTGTCTGTTTCAGCAAGGCGTCGACATTGCCATTGAAAAAACGAAACCAACCAACGTTGAAGAGAAGGACTGGAAGAATATCAACCACTTAGCATCGTGTTTGTCAAGGGAGCAGAAGTACGCGTTCAAGGATGAGAACTCTGCTCACACTCAGTTGAAGGATTTGGAAGATAAATTTATGAAGAAAAGCGGTCAGAATAAGCTCATCATGAAAAAGCGGTTGTTCCAATTTGAGTACCGGCATGGCACATCAATGAATGACCACGTCACTGCATTCAATCAGTTGTTTTCCTCGTCTTGGTTGAACGTCCCTTATTTACGGTGGGTCTCGACCGCTAATGAATGGCTTCGAAGGTGCTCGTTGCAGAGCTGCTGCTANTATGTGTACTTTAGAGGGCCATTGTCCCCCCCAAGATTTGTAATTTTTAGTGTATATATATGTGATAAGTATATCATTTTTCGCATAAAATCATACAATTATATTAAAATAGTATTTGTTTTACTCTTTCTACTAATAATTCAACTACAATTATACTCTTTTTACACTTTTGTATAACATTTTTTCTAATTTATATAAATTGAATGTATAGTAAATATGTGAAAAAATAAAAATTGTTAATTTTTAAAAATGAAGACTATATAAGATATGCTTAATGGAAAGAAAACAATATCAAACTATTAATATTGAGTCAATCGTTAATGAAAATTCATGAGCTGAGTGGGCGTTTTCAATGTAAATTTGTTAATGTCAATGTTTGAAACTTTATAATTTATATTGCATAATTATTATGTATAATTTTATAATAGAATTTTCTATTTTTTATATGTACATTAAATTAAATTTATGATTACTGAAAAGAAATTTCTGATCCGCCTGAGCTTTGATCTCCTTGTTGCTGTTGATTAACGAGAGTGAGGGAGGGTATTTTTCTGGTCTCAAATTCTATTATGAAAACATAAGGTGGAGAGATATGTATCTTTCTTAGGGAAGACTATATATGAAGGGAGATTGGGTATCATATAACTTCACGAAAAGATGACTTAAATTGGCATAAAATGAGGGAGTTTGGTGTGTTTTCCCCCTTGGTCAAGGAGAGTTTAATAGCTGGATAATAACTTACTGAACTTCTCCTCAAGTTCAAAATCAAAAACAAATTTTATGGAGCCAAAACAAAACTCCACAAGGCATGGGCTGAAAATTCACTCAATTAGACCGAGTATTTTGGTGTCACGGGGCCGGATTCATTGCACTCAAAAGTGCCGAGACAAAAAGATAGATTGGGCTGAAAAGAGATACTAAGCCCAAAT